CACACCACACAATCTCAAAATAAAATTTTATCTTATTTTTTTTCTGACCTCTGCTGACTGGTACTTGGCTTATTCTATATACTGTAACACAGATTTACTTACAGTGTTTTAACAGTTTTCTCTAGATACTCTTAGCAACGGGCTTCTTAAAACCTGTCTTAAGTGCAGAGTTAAAGTGACAGCATTCCTTTATTTGAGACATTGGAAAGAAACTAATTGGTTCCATCATGCTTAGAATGCCACATGATTTGTTGCCCCTTCTTTGTTACATACATTCAGCTGCATTTATTTACTTATGATGATTTAGAAGAAAATATGTCAACAAAGTTTAACTTAGGCAATTGACCTTCTGTCACAACCATCCAAAGATAGAAGAGAATGATTTGCACTTGGGTGGTTACTGATGTCCTCTCTCCATTGATGTATGTTGAAGCTCCAGACAAGGAAGCCAGCTCCTGTATCATGCACCTCCCTCTGTTTTAATATGGTAAGACTTATGTGCTAAAGGATTCCAGGAAAGGTGGCCAGTGTAGGCCAATGTAGTACAAGGAGAGCCTGCAGGCTCCTGTTAGCAACCCACATTAGGTGAGATTAATTTGTGTGTGGGTTACCCTCCCAATTAGCACTGTACCTGAAGTAGCCCTTGTAGGGCCTAAGCATTTATTGTTTGGGTTGTATGAACTCTAACACTGTTTCACATAGGTTGTCATCTGATCGGTGTTTCTCTAGACTACCTGGTTTAGCACTGTATCCATGATGTACTTACCAAATGCCAAGTGATATATTGCCATATGTTAAGGCTATATTAAATAGCCTCAAATTTGTATCTAATATTTTTCTTCATATTCAGGGGAAGAGACAAATTTGTAGAGAAATAAAGAATTTCTTCTTTATTATAGCTGTAGAATTGAGGGAAGACAAATGGTCAGTCCCTGTTTTCATTTCTTTCCAGTTCACCTCTATGTTTTTGTTTTTGTCTACCCCCCTCTTTATCTATTTCATGCACATGCACACTTGTGTGTATACACCCATACTATTGAGATTGTCTCTTTTCTGCCAAGAATATTCCCTACACTTAAAGTTAGACTTGACCTATCCATTTGAGATGCATGAGTAGGGAAGTGTCGTATTAGTGTAAAAAGTAGAGGTTTTGATAATGAACAGTTTTGAACCCTACCTCTGACACTCAGCTATATGGCATGCAAGTTACATAAATTTTTGAACCTTCTATGAAGTTCTAAATATTTGCTAGCCCTCAACAGTGAGAAGAAGGACATATCTCTTCCCATGCCATGTGGGTCATGGTAGTTTTCCCTGAGAGTATTAGACTTCTAGCCATTACATCATATTTGCCCAAGTGACTTGCTTTAGTCAAGGTATTGTGAGTAAAAGCTTTAGGAGCCATTTGGGGTTTCCACTATTGGTCTTTTCCTCTCATAAAACTGGTCTATACGAGATAGGGACTGTTTCCTCAGTTTTGGTCTGGAAAAAAAGAAGACATGGAGCACAGACACAACCTATCCACAGTGGAGACCCATAATGTGAACAGGAAATAAACCCTTATTGCTGTAAACCACTAAAACTACACAGTTCCTTAGCCTAAAGTGATTTAAACATTCTCGTATCTATAAAATGGGCATAACATTATGCATCCTACAAAGCTAATGTACAACAGAGTGAGATCTTCATTAAGACATACGTTAAAGCTCAGGAGCTGGTAGTCAACACAAGGCTTAGAGATGGCAGTTGACAAGTTTGGGTGCTAACAAGGAGAGATTTCAAAGGTGCTTTTCCAAGAAAAGACACTTTCTTCTAAAGTAATCTCTTTTTTTTCCCTTCTGGGAAAATGTCTTTAATTCAAGTCACAGTTCTAATTTCACATCTTCTCTAAAGATTTACCTGAACCTCTGTCCCTATGAAAAATCAATTGCCTCTCTGTAGCCATAACAACATTGTATTATAAATGTTTGCATGCTGACCTTCTCAATAGACTGTACAGGCCTTTAGGGTAGAAGCTAATTTTTATATTCAAACATCCAAAAAGCAATACAGTAGGTAGAAATTATAGTGGAGTCTCATCATAGTAACGATTTTAATTTATGCCAACAAACACAGCAAAATTTGATAGGACCCTATTGTACAGTAACAAACACATCTAGTAATGTGCATTCACATTTTATTGATGATCTCAAAGAGCCAGTGGGAGTTTCACTGATACCTAGTCTAGCTAGTGGGAACCGGGATACTACACTGTCTTGTATGTGTTTCAGGAACTGTTCTCACTTATCCTTACGGATGGTTCTGGCCCTTTCTTTGAGTAGTTTTGCCTCTACGCATGCTGTGATCTAAACTCTCCTGAATTTTCAAGAGGGATCTTCTGCAGATCTTTAGTGCTTCCTTTTCTGTGCATCTGACTTCTCTCCAGTACTCTGTCTTGAGAACTACATCCTCTTGGTCTCCCTTAGATTCCATCTCTTCACCTTAAAGAATCAACCGAACTCCACCTTGTCTCCCCTCCTCATAACACTATCAGGAAACTCTCTCAAGGCAGTGAACTGGGTAGTCACAAGGATCACTTCATCTGTTACCCATCCTTGGGGATCACTGTTTTGTTTGCCTGGTGTCCAGAGTCCTGAAATTCATTATTTCAAATATGCTGTCTGTTGTTGGCAGTGTTTCAGAAAGAGGGTTAATCTGACCCTGTTATTCCATCTTCTTCCAAGATGGCAGAAGTCCCTTACAGTGAATTTTGATTATGTGACTTTTTTTACCTCATTAAATTAAGTCTAAAAAAGTTATCTGATGTGATTAAGATTATGCTGCTAGTAAATTAAGCCTAGCTAGGAACAGCTAGGCCTAGAACTCATAACCGGGTCTTTATTCCATTCAGTACTCAATCTCTAACAACCTTCAGTTTACAAAATTTGCATGTAGTCATGTGTATGTTGGGCACATATGCACAACTATATCAATTTCTGATGCTCAATAACTTAATTTCAAGTAATTCACACATAATGCCAGTAAAAAATAGCAAGTTCAATAATATGATTTTTGCAAAGATCTATTCCAGTCTTCATGCCTACAGTTACTTTCGTGTAAATTCACCATTACCTAGTGTGTGATGGAGCTAACAGATCTAATTTTACGGAGTTTTTCCAACACTAATCATACAAAGCTGTCAGATGTCAGCTATATATTTATTTTACATCAAGTATATCCTCAAAGGTGAAAATTTCTACTTAAATATCATGATTTCTATGCAGAGATAATGCTTAAATTAACAATAGGGAGATTTAATTTCATTTACATATTTTAACATAACGAGAAATTGTATCTTCCAGATTTTGTTGGCAAAAACTATTTTTGTTTGTTATTGGCGAATATATAATATTAAGTGCTTCCATATGGGAACAACCATTCGTGCTGAATTAAATGTATCACTGGACAGTTTATGAGTGTATGTATGTATGCATATATGTATATACTCGAGTATATACATATATACATATATATACTCAAGAATATTTAATTAATGAGTGAATACTTGTATGTTTCTTCAAGCCCCTGACCATACTTTCTGTTCTTTCATTTTTAACTTTACAAATATTGACTGAGTGCTTGTTCAGCTCATGAGCACAAAGATGAGTAAATCTTAGTTGCTACACTTACAGACCTGATGGTCTAGCATATGGCATTATCCAGGAGGCACAAACTATAGAGTACAAGGTGATGTATGCAGGGTTAATGCCATACAAGAGCACAACCAAAGTTCTTAAAGGGTGGTCATTTCAAAATCAGGGTGCAGACACCTCCACTCAGGAGGAATTAGGAAAAGAGACAAGGCATTGGAGATGGGTCTGGAAATATGCATAATACTGTGATAGTAATATTTGATGAATTAGGCATCAAGGAAATTTTAAGCAAGAGAACAACATGTACACAGCTAGGCGTGCTTGGGTGATGACAGTGTTCCATTATCTAATAAGTGGGGAAACTGCAGAAAGGGTTGAGGGATAAAGCTGGAGTGACAGAAGAATAAAGTCACAGTGACATTGTTAGCAGCCATGAAAATGTGCAGGACGAGTTTGTGTCTGATGTCCCTAGGCAGCTGGAAGCCACTCCCTTACTTCACTAGGGATTTGGTATATGATCAGAGCTGTGTGCATGAATACAAACCAACACTTGCATGTATGAAAGTGGGAGGTGATACTTGTGGAAGCACAGAGCATAAGCAAAATAATTCTGGGGCTGAATAGGTGAAGTAGGAGATGGAAACATTGTACAGACGTTTCATAGGCAAAAGTCTATGTAATTTGGCAACTGGTTAAATAGGAGTTATTGAAGTGAAAAAAAAAACACGAAGGGATTTGCTACAGAGAAAGAATTTTACAAATATGCTCAATCTGTTTTTAGCCAAAATTCCCAAACAAGAAACCAAAAAATACTGAACATGAAGTATGTGTGACTACATGGTAATATGAATGTAGCTGTGTCGTTAAGATCTGTACACAGAGGGGCGCCTGGGTGGCTTAGTCGGTTAAGCGTCCGACTTTCGCTTAGGTCATGATCTTGCGGTTCGTGGGTTCGAGCCCCGCGTCGGGCTCTGTGCTGACTGCCAGCTCAGAGCCTGGAGCCTGTTTCAGTCTGTGACTCCCTCTCTCTCTGACCCTCCCCTGCTCACGCTGTCTCTCTCTCTCTCTCCTAGAGATAAATAAAACATTAAAAAAAAAAAAAAAAAAAGATCTGTACACAGAAATTGATGTCTGAAACATTAGACCAACACATTGGGTAAATAAAAGTTTTTAAAAGCACTCCCATGGGTAGGCTAAGGCACGGTTGTGAGGTTGTATGGCTAGTGGAGTAGGTCTACTATTAATGGAATCTTGGAATCCAGGGAGCAGACCAATATATTGATTACTTAACAATCCCATCTCCTTGGATTCCTGAATGCCACCAAAACCAAACAAAAGAAACAAAACATTTCAGCATCTTTCTTCTTCATCTTCTCTAAGAATAAAAAATCGTATTTGAATTGCCAGGTTAAAGACATATGACAAAGTCAACTGTTCTTATAGGAGAACAGTTGAAAGAATGGGTTAGGTTTTAAAAGGCCACAATTAAGTCCATTCATTGCAAGGTCCAAATGAACTCTGCAAACACCGAGACTTTCCCTGAATTAACACTGAGTTAACAGATATCTGATACTGATGCTCAAACATTTTTAAATTCCAATAATCACTTTTGTGTCTTACTCATTTCTGAGTGTTCTTGTGCTGTATGTGAACTCTTTGTTTTTTAGAATTGCTTCTGATTTCACATGTTTCATCCCCTACCCAACACTCATCATTTTTCACCACATCAGTGATTTCATCTTTTCCAGCACTTTTAATATTTCCCCCTGAAAATTCAGGGGGAAAATTAAATTCCCCCTATTATTTGAAAATTAATAGGATATATATTCATAAAGCATGAGAACAGCAAACACACAGTGTAGGTGAGCAAGTCCCATGACAGGCAACACTGGAAGGAGTGTCCATAACAGTTAACATTCTCTGTTGTTTATGTGCAGAAATGAAACAACTTTGCGTTGCCTATAAGAGTCAGAAGGTTGAGAATTTGAGGAGTCCAGGAGATGTCTGTATCTCAGGCCTTCTCTCTCCTGAGTACATACCAGAAGGGAGTCTTTCTTTTCCTGCTGGTCAGCCATGACAGGGTAAGACTTTCCTTTCTCTGCTAAGAGAAGAGAGGTGTGATGAGTACTTCATTAACATTTGAGTGACGTCTGCATCCCTCACATTGAGAAAATCACAAGAAACATTCATGAAAAGACTCGTAACAAGGAACTTCTCAGTGAGAAAATGCACACAGCTCACAACTCACCAGTCTCTCTTGTGGGTTTTATTTGAAATCTCAGGACTTGGGGACTTTTGCCAGGCTCAGGTAGGTACCCTGTGAGGGTGGGGCAGAGACTTCTCATTTTACCAAGTCTGTACTGGGACAAATCCCTGCTGTCATAGCACTTGCCCTACCCTGGGAAAATGCAGGTATGTCAGTATTCTCTTTGATTTATATTCCTCTTTGTAAATCCCTTTTATTATTTCCCCCACTAACTATGCTTTACTTTTCTTTAAATCACATTGGTTCTTGATGTGCAAAGGAAGAGAGCTTTAAGAGGCAACTTCTGTGTTTCAAAGGTATCAGTTAGATATCTAGAAATTAAATGACAACACCAGGCAAGGTGTGGGGCTGGAAATGGGACCCAAAATAAATAGAATAGTTGGCATGCAATATAGCATGGACTAATTGTCCTGTAATCCAGAAAGCAAAATTTTAGAAAGTTACTTCTATGTTTGGAACAATGGAAATTGGGTTTTCCAAGTCCAGTATTACTGATTGTTTCAGAGAATTGGGTGATATTCAATATTTAATCAGATTCCATTTTACCTATAAAGTTAAGTGGAAAATTGAGAAAATGCCTCTTTTTTAAAACTCAGATTTGCTGGGTTACCTTGCTGGCTCAGTTGATGGAGCATGCAACTCTTTATGTCAGGGTTGTGAGTTTGAGCCCCACAATAGGTGTAGAGACTAGTTAAAAATAAAATCTTAAAAAATAAAATAAAAACTCAGATTTGTTAATACAGAAAAAAGTGGCTTATGCTAGAAAATCTACTCTCTAGATAAATATGACTCTATTTCCTAAATCATCTATACTGGGTAACATTTGGGCAATAGATTGCTTATTGACACTGGCTAATATCTTCAAGCCGAAGAGCTCATGTACGGTTGTGGCACTGTTTTGTGTTCATACTTGTATTGTTTTAACAACTTAATTTTTAGTTAAGTGGCTGGTAACCATATGTTCAGGATTTTATAGAACTGTCTTGATTTAAAACAGGGATTCTCAAGAGAGGGGGATTTTGACCTCCCCTGCTCCTTGTAGGTAACAATATATAGAAATCTTTTTGCTTGTCACAATTTGGAAGATAGGGGTGGATTGTTAATGGCATTTGTGGGTAAAGGCATGAGGTTCTAGTAAATGTACTATAATGCACAGGACAGCTTCCCACAACAAAGAATTTCCCACCCCCAAATGTTAGTAATACTCTGCTTGACAAATTCTGATTCAAAATACTCTATCTCATTGTCCTTCTGCATACTTATCAGTTCATTTATTCTTATATTCCTAATTTGGAGTTTGATAAGTATTATCTCATAATTTTATTCTACAGTGAGCTCCAATTAGATCAGGATATACAGCAAATGCACTTAAAAAATATACTCATCCTTAGATGTAAAACTGCTGCCTTATATAAGACATAAATGTACTTTTTGTTTTATTTCCATTCTGCATTAACATTTTAATACAGTTTGTGCAAGCTTATTATGCCAGCTATCCTTTGAAAACACATTCTGAACGGACAACAGAGTGCTTTGCAAACATAGGCTGGAACACCAAGTTAATAATTTTCTTGCTAGGAAATCTCCAAAACTTAAATCAAGAATTCTAAACTGTAAAACATGACTTTCTTTCAACAACATTTCATTTGCTCTGGCTTGAACTACCGTATAGAATAGGTACTAACGTTCTTAAACTTGGACAGAAGGTGAACTTCTTACCCAGTGGTTGCAGAATGACTGAACACACTGTTCCGCCTTTCCAGGCCCTCCTCCTTACAAAGGGGCCATTTTGGGTGTATGCATACCTGGTGGTGGGATTGCAGCTGGGACCTATGAGTGGGTGTGAATAATCTTTCTGTGGGTTGAGTTGTACCCAAGAATAAAGTAAGACCTGAGCTTCAAAATGCAGCCTCTGTATTCTGTTTTAAAGACTTTCATTTATCTTTAGGTTAAATAACATTCGAGAATATGTAAGCAAAGGCCCCACGGTACATGGTGTCGTAGTTAGAACAAACTGCACAAAAGCAAAGCTTGTATTAGGCATGTTGTGTGCCTGCTGTTCTGTGGACATTGCAGTATCCTATGCATTTTCAAAACAAAAGTGGGTGTTTCAGCAATACGCTAATTTTTAGGGTCCATAAATGTTACGCATCTGGAAATATAAATGCAAATTCACATCAAACATAGCTGGCCTGTTGAAAGGTCCACAGATTTACTATTCCTCCATCCCCCACCCACAACCCCTTTGGTCTTATAATCAAAGCTTGCTGTGTATTGACATTTTAAAAATGAATGTGACAAAAACTTATTTCTTCATTATCCTGAGTTTCTCTTCTACAGGGAAACTATTCTCTAGGGTTGCTATCTTTTGATTCATGATGCAGCATTCATATTACAATTGTGTGCATTTTTTTCTGTTTATTCAATCAATAAGGAGATTGAAATTTATAACCTCAGAAATATCAGATTCACTATAGAATACACTCAATCAGGGCTAAACTATTTCATTGTTATTTGTGGAGGAATAAGGCAAAATTTCAAAATAGGTATATAAAATTGAAAATGTAATGCAGCTGTGGCTTTTCAGTTCTAGGTTATAATATTTTTAGAAATCACTTAAGATAGCTTAAGAGCTTTAACCAAAGGAAGCCTGACTCATTTGCCTTAATTAACAAAGTTTTAGTCTTAGATATGGTAACTTTTCATCAGCCTCCTTAAGAACAATAGTTTTAAAATTAAGCTCATTATTCGTAGGGGGTGAGAGAAAGAATCCTAAGGAGAGAAGAAAGTACTGAGCAGATAAGGGAGTATGACAGTAACAACATTTCCAGGGTCCCTGTATCTAATATTTGTCTATTACTTGTCACTTGTTAACACTTTTCCCAAATCCTCTTTTTTTTGGTCCTCTTTCAAGTTTACAATTTACTTTCTCGTTTGGCAAATTAATAAACACATACCTGAAATAACCTTTTCTATATTTATCCCTCCTCTACTCCATTGCAAGTATTTAAATATTTAGTGCAAGACACTGTAGAAGGTCTTGTGGGGATAGTAGATATGTGGGCCATAGAGCTCAGCATATCTGCAAAACTGGCTGACGAACAATTAGAGAGGGGGCTAAAAGATGGATCTCTTACAATCCCACCTTCACCAGCACACTGCCCACCCTATCTAGCTTGACTTTGTATTTCCACTGTGAGAATTCTCATCATTCAGGGTTGCAAATTTACCAAAGCCAATACAGCTGTTGAGCTGTATGGTCAGGTGGTTACTTTTTGGTAAACATCAGAGAGTTAGGGGTAGGTACTGATTTTCTATCACCATCTCTATGAACTACTGACCAGATAGTTCATTATAATAAAAATAAATCTAAAGCCCAAGTCTGCCAAAGTTACCTCCATTTTTTCGTGGGCTGTCTGAAAAAGTATCAGAGACTGTTCATGTAACTTGGGGGGAATACCTATCCTTAAACCCTCTGAGTAGTACCATGCATAAAAAGTTCACTTTGAGAAAGATGCAATGATACCATTTAGTTTTTATTGTTAATATATAATTAAAATATAATCATAAGTGTTAGTTTGTTGAGTTTGATAGTTTTATATACCCCAGAAAATACTGTCCCAAATAAGTTTCCTTCCTTATTCCTCAGATGAGAAGCCGGTGCTCTCTATGTCATCAAATCCCCTCCCTTAACAACTGTCTGGTTTCTGTCCCCAAAAATTAGTTTCCCTAGATTTAGATTTCATATATGCAACTGTATTCTAAAGCAAGTTGGTAGTTGAATCAGGACAGAAGCCCTGTGAAGTGAAAGGATGCATTGCTGGATGGGACTGCCTTCTTAAGCTTCCATCACACAGGAAGTGGGTCTGTGAAGTCTTTCTAGCCAACTACATATCTTAAATACCTTAAACATCATGGATGAAGAATTATTTTTTCCAAATTTTTATTTAAATTCTAGTTAAAATATAGTGTAATATTAGTTTCAGGAGTAGAATCTTGTGATTCATCACTTACATGTAACATCAGTGCTCATTCCAACAAGTGCCCTCTTTAATACCCATCACCCATTTATCTCATCGCCCTACCCACCTCTCTCCATCAACCCTTAGTTCTCTATAGTTGAGAGTCTCTTATGGTTTGCATCTCTTTTTTCCATAAGTTCATATGTTTTGTTTTTTAAGTTACATATATGAGTGAAATCATATGGTATTTTCTTTCTCTGACTTACTTTGCTTAGCATAATACTCTCAAGTTCTATCCATGTTGTTGCAAATGACAAGATTTCATTCTTTTTGATGGCTGAGTAATATTCCACTGTAGATATACACCACATCTTCTTTATCCATTTATCAGTATATGGACATTGAGCTCTTTCCATAGTTTGCTATTGTTGATAGTGATGCTATAAATGTTGAACTGCATGTACCCCATTCAAATCTGTATTTTTGTATCCTTTGAATAAATGCATAGTAGTCTCACTGTTGGACCAGAGTTCTATTTTTAACATTTTGAGGCAACTCCACACTGTCTTCCAGGGTGCCTGAATCAGTTTGCATGCCCACCAACAATGTAAGAGGGTTCCCCTTTCTCTATATTCTTGCTAACATCTGTTGTTTCTTGTGTTGTTAATTTTAGCCATTCTAACATGTGTGAGATGGTATTTCATCATGGTTTTGATTTATACTTTCCTAATGATGAGTGATGTTAAGCATCTTTTCATGGATCTGTTAGCCATCTGGGTATCTTCTTTGGAAAAGTATCTATTCATGTCTTCTGCCCATTTCTTAACTGAATTCTTTGTATTTTGGGTGTTGAATTGGGTAAATTCTTTATAG